TTGCTGTTCTATGTGGAGTATAATTTTCTTGTTAAAGAAATAATTTCTCTCTCTCCCATCCAACTCTCTTCCGATAGATAACATTCAAACATGCAATCTGATTAATATTCAGATCTATCGTGACTCGCGTGCTCGTACACATAAGCATATGAGGATAACGAAAACATATCTCTATATTAAGATTAGATTGTACAACATGATAAACAAGAGGAAACCACTGTTTGTTCCATTCTGAGGTGCTTTTTTGGGAAATTAGAGGAAGCTTCCTGGCTAAAGTCGAAATGTAAATGTGAAAACAGTCTTTGTTTTGAAGAAGTTTAAGAAATGAATCATTGTTATTTGTTTGTAGCCAGTTTGAAAATAGTTCAAAATCCTAAGCTATATTCGTATTTGTTAATTCCTAACTAAGACCGTTTTGGAAAATCAATTACACTAGTTTATATGGTTTGGTCATTGGCTATCATATTCGAGATATGCTTGATCTCAATTTATTTATACCCCAGGCAACAAACTCGAAACAGACTTTTAGAGTAGAAAAAATTTGAAACCTCAACTTTATACCTAAACCAGTTTGTACGGATATTGATTTTAAGAAAAATAATGTTTTACTAAAATGTCACCAAAAACGCTCTAGACCTCTGTCAACTAGACCCTCTAAATTCGCTTATTACTAAATATTGGCTCGACTTCTTGAAAACAAATTGACGGAGTTCCCAGAAACTTGCACTGATTCTTCTTTAGGTGGGACATGATGTTGTGCACCAGCTACTTCAACTTTTAATCTGATTTTATTTTGAGGGGGAAGTGGGTTGTTTCACATGCCGAAAACAAAAGAATTCACTTTGCCATTTATAACTATATGTTTTGGAGAGGGAAGTCAACATACGTGCCTTTTGGAAAACTCGCAAATTTTCCTAAAAATATTTACATACGCATCTCTAATTTCATAAAACAATCATGAATAGATAATACTCATCTTCCTGTTATTATAAGTCTTTAGACAATTGCTAATCTATCCTCGCAAACCACATACTTAAGTAATTTATGATAGTTTCCAATGCCAAACATCGAGGAATATATCAAACCTTAATTTGTTTTATTTCATTGACCATAAGTTTTAAATAAATAGTGAGTTATCGCCCCAACTCCAAAGAAAATCACTCAGTGTCTGTAAATCTTTTCATATCTTTAGAATTATTTTTAAGGACTCAAACGCATATTCATTTATGAACTGTTTCGATGTGACGTGTAATTTCTACATTTAACACACACAAAAGGTGTCTTTAAACTTCGTCGTAATTTCCAGAATTAACTTGTATTTTTAAATAAGATTAAGTATGGTTTCTTTAGATAAAAAAAGGAAGATGAAGTATGTTTGCCAATAAGACAACTCTCCACTAGAGACCAAGTGACGTTGAAGTTATCAGCTATATATCACCGTATGGCCTTCAACAATGAGCAAAACCCATACCGCATAGTAAACTATAAAAGGCCCCGAAATGACAATGTTAAACAACTCATACGAGAAAAAATAACTACATGATTTCATCGCGTTGTCATTTATTATAATTATTGCTTTTGTTTTCTTATTTATATTTAAGTTTGATAAAAATGTAGAGCCTTACTTACTATAAATAGAAAATCATTATCATATCTCTGACTGCGTTATCATCACTCAGTCTCTATAAAGGACATTTGTTATTTTATTTCTGACTCTGTATTAGTATTTTTCCACTGCTATTGCATATGCATAATCATTTTTTCTGTTCATTACAAACATCAAGCCCAAACATTTAATTTTTCTTTTAGAATCTTCAACATACCGCTTGAATATATTAAAAAAATAAAAATTTTGTTGTAGCATCTTATATCTGCATTTTACACAACTGAACGATTCTTTAAGGTTCAGTTTGTTTTTCTTTAATTCATTTTCTTTTTGTTTTAATTTGTATTTTTTTCCATTATGTTACCAGTTAAATAATATGTGATTATAATAATTCCATTTTTGTTATTCTAATCAAAATAGGAACAATTTTAGAAATACTTTGATTGTTCCCATCTTTCCTGGACGCAGAATTTTAATTGCTGCTTAAACGGGCTTACTCTTTTTTAATTTCGCTAAAATGTCTCAGTTTGAAAATCCTAAAAACGCCTTATCCATTCACCGTCACTTTTTCGCTTAAAATCTACGAGATCTTCAATGTGAACACAGCTTGTATTTCAGAAACCTTAACATATGCGACTCTAATTCAATTAGCTATTGATGTACGATATCAATTAGTCTCGATCAACACGTATCTCTATAGCTGTTGGACCCTAATACATATTCATTAAATCAATTCATTACCTATTACGCAGGTGGCCATAGAAAAGAACAGATGTATTCCGAAAAGACAGTAGGCATTTCCGGTATTCCGAAAGACTACAGCATCAACCAATAAATATGCGTGAACCCTCAGGTAACAAATAAGCGTTTAGATAAAAAAAAAAAAAAAGTCACATTCTGGTATTTTTACAAGTATTAAGTTATTAATGGAAATTTGCATCTCATTATTTGGTCAAAATATGTATATGATATGTGGATATTGTCCACAACTGCAGGACAAGGCCCAACCCCTGAAGCATCAAGGTTTTTATTCTTAAAAGCTTATATTTTAAATTGATTCTCTATGTCCAAGGAACACAACTCCAGTGAAAAAAAAATCAACAGAAATGAAACTAATTCACAATCTGTAACTTTTTATGATAGGACAATATCCAAAATATCTAGTCAATTGATTCAAACATTACAGAAAAAAGTATTGAAAACTGATATTGGCATGAAATTTTCAATCTGAAAAATAACAACTCCGGCAAAACATGAACAAAACTTAAAACTCCATCTGTAACTTCTAATGATAGAACTATAAAACGAATACATTATCATTTTGATTCAGGTATTACAGAAAAAGTCAGAAAAACTTAAATTTTCATTTCACAATTTACGCTTATATCGCTCAACTAGAAGAAAACTCAATCTGTAACTTAGTGTGTAAAACATGCATTTTCAAACAATTTGTCTATGTTCTAGGGTCACAACTTTTGCTAAATTCCCTCATTATATAATGACTCAGACTCTATCTGTATAAATATAAAAACATGTGGTATGATTACCAATGATACAACTTTCCATCAGATACCAAATGACGTAAAAGTTAGCAGCTATTGGTCACTGTATGAACTTCAACAATGAGTTGTAAAGCAAACTATTAAAGGTCCCAACATGACAAATGTAAATCAATTCAAACAATAAAACGAACTGCCTGATTTATGAACAAAACAGTAAACGAAAAACATATATGTTTTATGTTCTAGTTCCACTTTAGCAAAATTGGCTCAACCAGAATACCACTCAAATTTAATCTGTTACTTCTTTGGACAGTTTTATATAACGAATATCAAATTGAATCGATTCAGGTATTACATACAAATAATCAATTTCTACGTTCTAGTTCCACAACTTAGGCCAAATTGGTTCAACGAGAATACAACTCAAACTCAATCTGGAACTTCTTTTTTATATGGATGTTTACCAAATAGCAAATCAATTGATTCAGGCAATACAGAAAAGAAGAGGCTCCAAAGACCCTACATCGATCACCTGGTAAAAAATATGCCATTTGATATTTATTCTTTTTCAATTTTTACAATCAGTTATGAGTGTTTTTTTGTATACCTTATTTAGTGGCACTTTTGTTGGTTGTATTGATAATCATTTTGAATGTTTACAGTCTATACCTATCTATTAAAAGTTTTTAAGTCATTTAATAGCAATAATCCTATAGCTAGTGTGACAATTTGACCATTTTTACTTACTTGTGGGTCTAATTGTGCTGAACTTTTTGCTTTTTAGAAGTCTTTCTCTAACTCCAATAGTTTTTGACAAAAATGCAAAAATGGATAAAAATCATTATTCAGGGGAAATAACTTCTATAAGTAGTCGGTTGACAATTTCAACCAGGATGACTGATTGGCAGATCTTATTGAGCTGGACATTTTTGCTATATATTGTTGCTCTCTATCAATCTTTGTTTTGTAAAAAAGTCATAAAATGGGTAAAAATTGTCTTTCAGGGGCAATAAATCTTAAAAGGAGTCGGTAGACAATATCGGCCATATTGACTTATTTGTAGATCTTGTTGTGCGAAACATCTCTGGTATTTACAATTTCCCTCTATCTTAAATGGCTTCGACAAAAAATGAAAATTTGGTAAAAACCATATTTCGAAGGCAAAGTTGAATAAAGTACATTTGTACGAAGCTGAACAGCATTGAGATCACAAAATTAAAAAAAGTTTTGCCAAAAACAGCTTAGGTAATCTATTCCTGGGTTAGAAAATCCTTAGTATTTTGAAAATTCAAAGTTTTGTAAACAGTTAATTGATAATTATGACCAAATCAATGATAAGTAGTGCTGGCTACTAGGCTCGTTATAGTTTCTACCAAAACAAACCACAAAAATTAGTAAAATTAGTCTTTCAAAGGCAATAATTCATATACGGTGTCAATAGTGAATTTGTCCATGTTAACTTATTTGAAGATCATATTTTGTTGGACATTTTTACAATTAAAAGATTCTCTTTATCAACTATAGCTTCTTAAAAGATGCAAAAGGAGTAAAAAATCATCATATAAACATGATAAAGGCAATTACTCCTATAAAGGGTCATTTGACGATTTCTGCTAAATTGACTTATTTGTAAATATTATTGTTCTGGTCATCTATACTATTTAAAAATTCTCTCTATCTGTTTTAGTTTTCAAGATTATAACCAAAAACTGCTGATAGTAGGAGCCTGTCGAAATGCACTAAAAGAGAGATATTACTTGCCCACAACCAGACAGACAAAACTTTGAGAAAATCCATCAAGATATAGCCCAACCTATAAGCACAGTAAAGCAATTTGTTGTATTTTATGTTTATCAGGTAAAGAAGTAAAATAGTGCTCAAACTTCAAATGATCAAGGGGCCTCGGTGGCCGAGTGGTCTAAGTAGTTACTACAGTAATCATTAGCCAGTCAACACTGAGGTTGTGAGTTCGAACCCCGCTCGTGCGGGTGCACTCGACTCCAATCTTAATTGATCAGGATTGTCAGTTTTCCTATCAAAGGTCGGTGGTTTTCTCCGGGCGCTCCGGCTTCCTCCACCAATAAAAACTGGCCGCCACGAAATAGCCTAAAAGCGGTGCTTAAAAGTGGCGTTAAAACACCAAAAATCAAAATCAAATCAAATCAAATGATCAATAGTTTATTTACATTTACATTTAATCAATTGATAATTAACAGATAAATATATAGTCATTGTATGACCAAACATCATGCCTTATATAAAACATGTATATAATATCACTACAGTTGATAATTAAGAATGTTGCTACAACCACATATTCTATGAAAATAGATAAATGAATAAAATCCATGGAAAGAAGATTTACATGTAAAGATAAGATTGCTTTAAAGTAAAAAGTTTTCTACCTTTTTTCAATAATGAAATTCAAAGGAAGAGTATCTTCAAAATTTGTTTATATAATAATTGCTAGCCTCCATCCAGATAACAATACAACATTGAATAGAACGAAAACAGACAATAAACAATAAAAACATGATATTCAGATTAAACATTTATTCTGCTGATTGGAATGAGTTTGTCATGTGACAGTTTCTATTACTAGACTCTTCATATAATTTATTCATTTCTAAATTCATTAGATGGAAAGCAATGAACCCAATATCTAAGACTAACAATCTCCACTGTCCCAGGTTAGGGGAAGGGTTGAGCGCTTATAAACATGTTTAACCCCACCACATTCTTTATGTGTCTGTCCCATGTCAGGAGCCTGTAGTTCAGTAGTTGTCGTTTGGTCATGTCTGTCATATTTGTTTTTCGTAAATTGTTTTGTTATAATTAGGCCGTTAGTTTTCTTAATTGAATTGTTTCATATTTTCATGACGGGGCCTTTTATAGCCGACTATACGGTATGGGTTTTTGTCACTGTTGAAGGCCATACGATTGTCTATAATTGCTTACATTCACTTCATTTGAACTTTGGTAGATAACTGTCTCATTAGCAAACATACCACATCTCCTTATTTTCATATTAACAGATTGATAAAAAAAAATTCCATCAGAAATTTCATTTTTTAATGTAATGTGCATCTAATTTACTGCTAAAAAAGTTGCTAAGGGCCAAATAATATATTTGGTAGACCAAAGGATGTATAAAATTAGGAAGAAAACAGTGTTACACACTTCCATGTGTTTTTTAATTACTCTCATATATATTCTTTAAACTGCCATGATTTAGTCTTTTGTGTATTATTCATAAAAAAATATTCATTACCTTATATTTGCATTTACAATGATGTCGATTGATCCTTAACTAAACTACTTGTTTAGAGTTTTGTATTACCTCGACTTAAAATCTTGTAAATCTTGAATTATTGTTCAAAGGAGTATGGCCAAGAAGGCCTTAAGTTGGCCCTAAAAATCTAACCTTCTAATACCATATGTAAATTCCTATATTAAGGAACTTAAATAGGCAAGTTTAAATAAACTAGACACTTTTGTTATCTGCTGTTTGTTTTGATAAAGTTGGCATCTTCAAAAGTTTGCTATTGTTCAAGGTTTTAGCAAATTATCTGTGTATATGCATTTCTAAAGGTTATTCCATATGAAAAACATTGTCCACCCCATTCGATCAAAATAAAATTGTAATACGTAAGATTTATATAAGTAAGATACACATACAAACAAAATATTATAATGGTCCGTGCATGTGGCAATTTTTGAAGCAGAAACTATATTTCGGCAAAACATTATTCAAAGTATGATTTTCTTCATTATGGTGCACAATCATGACGTCAGGATGACATCACAAATATTCTAATGCGCCAGACCTTGTTGAATATGTAAATGTCAGATATTTTTACATATTTTGTCATCAAGTTTTCACCTTTTTATTACTAAAATTAAATTTCACAGAAGTTTAGGGCGAATATGGACCTTCTTGAACATACTCCTTTCAGAGAAAAAATAGGCTTAATAAGTCCTTTATCGCACCGTGTCCTTTTCTGAAAATCTGCAGATACAGTTAAGTCCACCTCAGATTTTGACTTACGTCTAAAAATTAATAATGAGGGTTGGTTGAGAAACGAAACTTTACGACAAAAGACATGATTTCAGCCTTCTAATTGGTCCTAAAAAGTATATGATGTCATTGACAAGATAAATGTAAAACAACAACTCATTTCTGTTGTTGTGGAATGCTGTCTAATTAACGTATAACCCTCTCCGAAAAAGAAGCAGACACTTCAAATCATTTTATTTAAGTACACATATTTTATCTGTAGCAAGATAAAATAACAAATTTATTTGCATATAGTTATTGGGCATTGTTAAACTATCTTCATGGCAAGCAATATAAGATTGATACGGCCTTGAAATATATCACAGCATTGTTGTTTTACATTTATCTTGTCAATGACTACTCATGCCAAAAGTTGAGTAACAGTGATAGCTTAACTATTATTTTCCGTAAAAGAATTAAAAATGAGTATCACGACTTATGATTGTCATACTTTTGAAGTGTAAAAATTGCCTCAATGACAAATCGACTTCATTAAACTTCATTAACAATATTGTACACAGATCAATGTCAGAATAATCTTTTATATCGAAAACTTGTGAAAAAAAACCAATTATCAACACATTCTCTATTCATATTCAAAAATACTGGTTCATAATATTGTAAACTAGTAACACAATTGTGCATTTACTTATTTACTAGTATATAGAAATATGACATTATTACAAGGTTCAAAAATAAAATATCCGGGCATGCCTTTTAAATGTAATCGAACAATAGATTTTGAAAATGAATACATGTAGTTGGTATACAAAAGTTCTAACTGATTTAACCCATGGATACATATCTGTTCAATGAAGAGTCAAAACAAATGAAACCGTTCATAAGAACGAATCAAAAATGATCTGAAACAACATATAATGCTAAGAGTCTAGACAGATTTAAACGCAAATGAAATAATCCCTCACGGTAATCAATCCCTCCTACTTGCGAGTGTAGCCATTGTAGATCAGTGAAATACAACGACTGTTTAATTCGGGTTAGATAAATTTCTATTTCAATTAAATTGTCTTCCCTTTAAACATAAAAACTTATGACTTTTAAAACGCGCTTTTATGATAGGCTAGTATTTTAACATAACGAATTTTCGTTTAAAGTTGTGTTTTGAATTTTAATCATTGTATTCTTAATAATTACCTTTTGATATATTGTTATGCTTTAAAGTTATAATACTTGTCTGAATGGTAACCCAGTGGAAATTATAATTTTTTAGCGTTCATTAAAGCAACAATTTATAGAATTATTTCGTGTGGAGGCATATACCAAATTTTCAGAAAAGTAAACCGTGACAATTAAATGACCACAAAAAAATCCTTTTTTTTTTTGTGGAAGGGATGCAATATTATAATGAGACTGTAGTCAAGGTTTTTATATATTGAAGCTGAACTAATTCATGATATTGGTCAAGGATTTAAGAGGGGTGTAAAAGGACGACTTGTCATTCGTAGTACTTTTTTCAGGAATAAAATAATAAATATGCCTCACGTTTAAGTTGTTATTATGTTCAAGAAATAAAATAGAATTATAGATTTACATGTAAAAATTTAATTTAAATCTTAACAGTTATAGTACCATAGTTTCAAACACAAGCACTCTGTGTCGAATGGAAACATTTTCAATGGTACATATCTTCAAGTTTGAAAATAATTTAAACCTACCTACCTAAAACTTGTAACTTTGTATTTATAAAGCTAATGGAAAAAACATAATGGTAACTATGCGTATTCATATATATTTTTTTAATATAAATATGAAAGTTCTTTAGTTAACTATGTCTTTGTGTAGGTTTTGGGTCAATGTTAGAAAATGGGGAAACTTCTTTAAAACGACTGCAGTATGATGTTTAATGACCATTAAAGAAACAGCTGTAAATGATCCGAACATGTTTTAACTGCGAGTTCATTTTCTATTGTTTAATTTCAACTGGATATCCACCTGTAAAGCAAATCACATAAATACAATACAATTTCATTTCAAAATTGAATACTTCTTTTTATAATATTGTTACGGTGTGGAAGGGTTGACCGAAGCACGTTTTGTAGGAAGCGCGGGGCGAATCGCTTCATACTAAAAATGTATGCACGATGAACGCCTTTACAAAACTTTCAAATTACAAAAAAGAAATATGCAATTCTTATAATGACATGTGTATGCTACAACCATGAAATTACGAGATATTGAAATGTTTTCGTATTTGTCTTATGCATTGTTGTGAAGTCGACATATGCTGTCTTGAATGCTGAAACTGATTGAGAAATACAATGGTATATCTGAATGCCTCCGATTACTTCAGCACATCAAAAGTACGGATTCTTATGAAACATACATGTGATGTAATTATATAGATATAACATCTGGGCTGCGTTCAATGTCGTAGCCGCTACACAGGGTTTCGTATATTTTGACTACTGAAAGTATAGCTAGCGTTGCCGCAAGATAGATCTATATAGCCCAAACAATTCATGGTATCTAGTGAATCCAGAATGTCGTCGGATAGATTATTTCTAATGACGTCAGTTTGAAAGGCTAGCTACGTAGAATATCGTTCAGCATAGATATCTAGGACACAGCGGCTATACTAGCTACTATGATATTGAACGCAACCCTGGTATGAAACAGAAAAGAGAATATAGAGGAACACGCGAAATGTATCATCATTTGGTTTCAACTATCTGAAATCACGTGAAAATAACTTACAAATCAAATTTGAAAAAAGAATAAAACTCCAATTTTGCCTGCAAATTATTAAATAAAACTGATTTTCTTAGGGTTGTTGTCTATGATATATTTCCCGCATGAAGAGATATTAATCGTATCACACTAGACAGAGAGTGATATAAATAAATGATACGAAAAATACGCTATTCGTTAGGTCAATGAAGGTTCCAACGGACCATTATTCACCCTTGGCAACGGAGTTCTGTGTTTTCTTCAATATCAATATATAAAATCATCACGTGTTTCACTTGAACACATTCTTATTTGATTCCATTCTGAAGATTTCAAAAAGCTTTAAAATTTCTGATGTTTTCGACTAATCTGGGTTTTCGACGCATGATTTTAAATTCCGTTAGTGGTCTTAAATTTGAAGTGAAGCTAGCGAAATCAAAACTTTTCACCAGAATTTTATTTTTTACTCAAAGATAATCTTTTCTTAAAAGAAATTATACGTTTAACAACTCGTGAGAATTCGTTATGAAGCAGAGTATTTTAATCGAATAAATCTATATTGTGGTCATGACGTTATATTTAGTGGACAACAACAGATCGCAAAACAGTATGCGCAACAAACCGTTGCCCCCATATCAAACTGAAAGATAGTTTTAGGTTAGCATTTAATTTTTCCAATTTATGCTTTCTTGACGAAAACTCCCATTTTGTACTTATTTCTGCAAATACTGCGTGTTAGTGTAAGTTGTGTAGTTTACATGTAAAGTGTTTCTTTTTTCTGTGATTTACTGCAATTGGGTACATTTCATTAAGAATGTTGTATTTAGCGTATACAAGACGTATAAGAATAGGGAATAAATCATCTTTAATAAGACATATTTCTTTCACAAAGTTGAGATTGTCATTCTTATGATAAATACAATTCAACGCTTTTCCATGCACTTATATTTTGACGTTATTTTAACAAATTGGAATCAGATTGATTGCTTCTCAGCACTTTTTTTTTTATCTAAACTCGAGAGAGAAAATATTTTATGTTTATTTTGCGTTAACCAAAGTAATAGATAATAGTGTTTGCAATTTAAGAAATAAAAGATAAATCAAAACTGTGTGTACAAATCAAAAATATATTAAAACTGTGTGTACAAATTAGAAATATATTTAAACTGTGCGTACCAATTAAAAAGATACTAAAACTGTGTGTACAAATTCAAAATATATTAAAACTGTGTGTATATATAAAACATATATTAAAACTGTGTGTACAAATTAAAAATATATTGAATATGTGTGTACAAATTGAAAATATATTAAAACTGTGAGTCAATTAAAATTTATCAAAACTGTATGTGCAAATTTAAGATGTATCTTTACTCACGTTATTGGTATCAATTTTAGGAAGTGAGTGTTTTATTAACTAAGACATTTCACTTCAATGCTATTATCCAAATTTGGCGCTTCGAATCCAGAACTTTCACAGCGAGCAAACCCTGTTTTCCATGCTTCTTTCGTTGGTGTTAACTTATCTGATGTGTAGAATTCAAAGAGGGAGTTAGTCTTTACGGGCTTTAAGTGATATTGATAATTCTCCCCTGATACTGCAGAAAAATATTTCAAATTTACTTTGGTACATGTTTTTACGTTTTCAGAACAATCCTTAGATGTTACGTGACAAGTGTTATATTGTACATCTCCCATCAGCCGATAGCGTGTTTGTGGAAGGAACATGAAATGTATCCATATTTCCATTACATCTGTACTGTTGATTACATTTAAACATTCGGATTCATTGACCTGCCTAAACAAAAGTTCGCCAGTTTCTTTGTAGCATTCATCTTCGGCCTTTTGGAAATCAGCACTGTCTTTCATAGGTAGAAAAGTTTGAATCAATATTGTCGTATTTTCTTTCCTATGAAATTTAATTTTTTGCAATTGGGATGATTTATTCATCAAAAATGTAAGGTTGGCCATTTTCAACCACGTGCTTTTATTCACATTTGATTGTGCAGATCCCTTATGTAGTTCTGTCACATTTATGTATATTCCTGCGCTCCCAAAAAACCTTGAAGGGTCACCTCCACTGGTCTGCAGCTTAGTTGATTGTTGAAATTTAAAACTCCAATCATCATGTTGGATTGTTGAGAAAACAAAAACGGACAATGCGAGAATAAAGGCTAATATTGATCCTATTATTAATATAAAAGAGAAAACTAGAATAAAACAATTTGTTGAATCCTCCCTTCTTCTTGAGCAGATTCGTACAACAACAATGATTATTCGCAGTATGCATCCACCTATCAAAAACGATGCTTTTATTAACTGAATCAAGCTTGTACCTTCCTCACGACAACTTGCAATATATGCACTCATGCCAATCTGTGGTAATTCTTCACACCATAGCACAAATGTAAAAACGTAAACAAAGTCAATGCAACAGCTGTTATCATCATTTAGAATTTCTAGTTTATTGTACACCATTTCCACTATGAATGTCACAATGCCAATGCAACAAAAGGCCAGTATAGCATGCAGGAACATTTTGTCAATGGGTCCAAACACTATTCCCTTTTCCTGTTTACTCATTTCAACGTAAAATAACCAATCACTGATTAGGTCTGCAACTTCTATTATTCCGAGGATAAAGAAGACAGAAAACCGAAAACTCATTTTCCCTGTTAAATTACACATTTTGATTTTCTGAAATGATATAGAATTTTATAATCATACAAATTTAGAAAAGATATTCGGCATTGGTCAATTGTGTCGTTGTCATGGAAAATATTTGGCAAAGATATGGAATGCTTGTAATGTACCTTCAGGGAAGTCATTTGTTCGTCTTTTAATAAAACAAAAATTTAAGTTTGTTAAAGAAGAGGGACGAAAGATACCAGAGGGACAGTCAAACTCATAGATCGAAAACAAACTGACAACGCCATGGCCAAAAATAAAAAGACAAACAGACAAATAATAGTACAGATGACACAACATAGAAAACCAAAGACTAAGCAACACGAACCCCACCAAAAACTGGGGGTGATCTCAGGTGCTCCGGAAGGGTAAGCAGATCCTGCTCCACATGTGGCACCCGTCGTGTTGCTTATGTTATTACAAATCCGGTAAATAGTCTTATTCGGTAAGTCTTTAAACTTTGCTTTATTATGATGCATTAAACGATCTCGTGTTCTAAAGAATTACCATTCGTGAAAACTTGTTTTTCTTTTGTATGCACCTCTACAATTCCCATTTTCTACATATGGAAATGCCTGTACCAAATCAGGAATATGACAGTTGTTTTTCATTCGTTTGATGTGTTTGAGCTTTTGATTTTTGCCATTTGATAAGGGACTTTCCGTTTTGAATTTTCCTTGGAGTTCGGTATTTTTGTTATTTTACTTTTTTCAAGGTTGTTCTCATTGAAGTTTACCGCAGCTAAAGACAATAAAAGATTAAAATGAGATATGTTGATAAAAAAAGATCTATCAGCAAAATAGTAAAAAGATACGTTTAATGAAATAATAATACACTGATCTGTTAGGTACTGTGGATTGTATATACTAAGTCTCAACTAATTGATATTAAAATTAAATGGTACTATAAAACTTTATATCTTTCCTAGGTTGACAATATCGTCAATAAAGAAGAAATAAAAATCAGATTATAGTTTGCTTAGCAATACTCGGCGTCAGGTTCCTTTTGTCGGGGAAATAAAATTGGTAGTCGACTTAATTTATCGAGACAATGAGGACCAAAGGAGGTACTTTAATTCACTTACTTTATTCCGGATTTCCTCCGGATTGTAATCACTAGCAAAAAGAACTTGCTTCCTAGGGAATAGTAAATTACTTAATTGCATGTGGCTATGTATTTTCATCCATTTGTTGAATTACCAGTAATTATTCGTATTAATATTTCCTGTCATTTTATTATGTGAAAATGATCGGTCGGGTGCTCTAGTGATAGCAATAACCGGATGTATTTTTATGATGGGATCGAACTATCGCTTTGAATTCCAACACAGAAAATTATGATATTCGGAATAAACCACAACGTATTAGATTGATATCAATATGTAATAAAACAAAAAATAGGTACTTGCCAGTATTTCAGTCCTACACAGTATAAACCGAATGAACTTATTAAAAAGAAGGTATACATGTGCTTTGTATTTAATTAACCACTATATAAAGGTACACGACGCATTGCGCAAGTTTATTTTTAATCGTCAGAATTTCTTTTTCTCATTAGCTACATAGAATAACAAAGTTTTAACCGAAAGGTATTGTGTTATAAATACAATATACAAAATTAAAAGCGTGAATTAGATACGGAGTGATTACTTCAATATAACCTTACATTTGAGTGAGGTTACCTAAATGATATTTTTTTTTTAAAGTTATCGAAATAATTTTTAGGGTGACAAATGATTCAAAATTACATGCGGTTTAATCATCTCGACGAAGCAGTTATGGAGAATACATTGGTTTACTGTTACATATATTTCTTCCTTACCTATTCAAAAGGATAGTGTATAGCACCCAACAAGTCACTAAGATAAATAAAGGCAACAGTAGTATACCGGTGTTCAATAGTCATAAATCGATTGAGCGAAAACAAATCCGGGTCACAAACCAAAACCGAGGGAAACACATCAATAATAAGAGGAAAACAACAGAACAACAGACACACTGAACTGCTACAAAAACAAACATTATTACATAGAAACGGACTATTTGATAACAACTGCCATATTCCTGAGTTGAAAAAAGACATTTTAAGAAAAAATGGTGGGTTGAATCTGGCTTTATGGCTAGCCAAACCTCCCGCTTACATTGCAATGTTAAACATACCGCTAAAATGACAACATTACGTGACAGGAATACAGTACAAATAAACGCAAGCACACTCAGGACAGAGAAATACATAAATAAATGATATAATAGTACATTACAACATGTAAACCACAGAATAACAACGGACAAACTTCCATTAATTTACGACAGTACACTAGTACACCACAATAGAATTATGAACTGTGCGTCACACGAATGCATCAACGCCACAAGTAAGTAACATTTGAATTTTACTACCCCTTTATTTTTATATCCTCTCGTATATCCGTAAGTAATGACGCAAACTGATATACATATACAAATAACATTGAATTTATAATAAGTGTATTATAATACTTTAGGGGCTTCGTGGCAGAATGGTATAAGCGTATCCCTTACAGTACCACTGGCCTGAACACACTGAGGTTATGAGTTCTAATCTCCACGTAACAGGTGTGTAAGACTTCGATTTTAATTGACTAGGATAATACGTTTTCTTGCCGAAGGTCGGTGGTTAGGCCACACCAATTTGATTTTTAGTTCTTCGGACAAAAGCTCCAAAAAATATGGGGCGAGCGAGCGAAATTTTTTTGATTGTATTTATTTCTTGAAAATGAGTTTTGTTGAGGCGGGTGCTCTACAAGTGGAGCGAGCGGTATATTTTTTTTTTTTTAAATTGTGCGATTTAGAATATTTGTACATGTTAAAATTGGGTTACTTCAAAGAAAAAGGAGGATAAACATGCTCTTATGCATATAAGTTGATGTATTTGTGCCTGTAGTACAGTCTGTACCATACCCAACTTTTTGGTTGGCTTTGGTTTAGTATAATTTTGATTATTTTCGTCAAATAAGCTTTGACTGCGTGAATTTTCATTTAAATTCTTACATGTGTATATATTAAGGAAGCATATCAGATGCAGTTCAGCAAGAGAAATTATGTTAGTTAGGTAAATGAAATGTGTTGAATACAATTAAAATATGTGTATGACGTGTATGTATTCCAAAAAAAAGCCCATGAAAAATATTGAATATCTTTTGATATAGTTGTTTCAATTATATGGTAATGATTGTTTATTGGCTGCTTGACATCCAGTTGGAACTATTTATCCATAATAGGATCAACATAATGAGTGAGGTGAATATATCAACAACATCCTGAGTAAGATAATTATATTGCTATGCATGCAGATCTCAATGTATTAAACATTTAATCCCGCGGCAAATGTTTGCACCTGTCCTAAGACAGGAATCTGATGTACAGTAGCTGTCGTCTGTTTATATGTAGTTCATACGTGTTTCTCGTTTCTCGTTTTTATATAGATTAGACCGCTGGTTTTCCCGTTTGAATGGTTTTACACTAGTAATTTTTGGGGCCCTTTATAGCTTGCTGTTCGGTGTGAGTCAAGGCTCCGTGTTGAAGGCCGTATACCTTGACTTATCATGGTTTACTTTTATAAATTGTTACTTGGATGGAGAGTTGTCTAATTGGCACTCATACCACATCTTCCTATATCTATTCCCTTAAAATACATTTAACCACATTCACATGCATTATTCTGACTTAGCAAAATACTTCCTTTTTCCCCTGAAACCTGCAATGTATTTCAAACTGGAAGTGGTTGCACCAATAACACATCCCAAATTATTACCAGCATGCCAATCCCAATACCACCACTTTGGTCTCGAATGTTGGAACTCTTAAATTTTCCCTTACAAAAGAGTTCTGATTGCATGTCAATAGACTAACAAGGGGATATGGAGTTTTCATTAAAATAAGATAAATCTGTCATTTTTCAAAAATTCATGTGAATTTAATATTAATTTCATCCAAGACAGATAGCTCTAGATATCTATGTCTGTTGTAGTCCGAGATTACTCTGACGTCCAACGGCTGTTTTGCCAGACAAGCTTGGGCCGTGGGATAACAGCCCCCATCTTTTCTGGCAAACAGCTGTTGGACGTCGGAGTAATCTCGGACTATGTCTGTTGAAACAATGATCGGGGATGACAATGGTTCTAACAAGTACTGATGTGATCGTGGTCATCTAACGAAAGATTTTTTATTTTTGTCTCCTTGAACAGGTGAAACGAAATGCATTTCAAATAACTGTGTGTTTAATAACTACGTGTCCTCGGCAATGATCTGACACAACTTCATGTTGGCATCCCGATTTTTGACCTTTTATTTACAACTCGATTTATCACACATGCGTTTGAATCGCTCGGAGCAACAAATGTACGAGAAAAACGTCTAAGAGAGAAAAAAAATGTCAAGGATAAACTAATTTTGGAGCGGCATGCGGCCCAAAAATTGGCGGAAGCGGAAATTATTTTTTTTTATTGAAAAGTCAATTTCTCCAAAACAGGAGCGGGAAAATCCAAAGAACTATTAATCAAATTGGTGTGGCCTTATCACTGGACATTCCAGGTGTAAGCATATCCTGTTTTTACTGCATCACCCCACATGCAAATCCACACTCAGTCAAAATGTCACAATAGGATATAGAACGCAATCGGCATTAGGACACAGTCGATAAAATTACAGATTAGACGACTAAATAAGTTGACAGAACACCTGGTGTAAGGAGTTTTCTTAAACTGTCAACAATGGTTGACTGTACTATAGCTATGGGTAGGGTGTTCCATTGAATGATGGTATGTGAAAAAAAAGATATATGTTTCCTTTTAAGTTAGTATACGTCTATGAGTACTGTAAATTCAGAAATTATTGCGAGGTTTTAATAAATGTGAAAAATGCGTTTGGTTGAGTATCGCAATAATAAGAACTCGCATTCTAATATCCAATCCATATATCTGTATGCATATTTTCCTAAAATCGCAATAATTAATCTCGCATTTTT